TTAGTTATAGAAAATTGTCCAATTTAAACAAATTATCTTAAATGTGCTTAATCCAATATATTTGGGATTACAGTAAACAGTATGGAAAAAATCAACAAGTTATGAAATACTAACATGTTTTAAAATATGGGCTATTTAATTTCTTTTGATTACCATCACAGTGTAATTAGCTTATGATGATCAAAAGTTATCCCTGGCTTACATCAATGCTGGTGAACAACTGAATTCCTCGTTGCTGAAGCTGTTTACATTGAAATTTAGTTTGTAAGGAAGAGTTGGGAAATTCCATTTCTTTAATATGAAAATATGTTGTCTATATGTTCAATGAGACAGCAACCCAAAAACAACCAAAAAATCGCTCAAAAACATCTAGACTTGTCTGTGTCAAACTGGAATCCACCTCAATATGAATAAGAAGATGTGGTATGAGTGCCAATGAGACAACTGTCACAATGTATGAAAAGTTAGTCTTTATTTTTAAAAAGGTTTGGGATTATAATCAGTGTGGAAATAATGACGAGTTGTTAGATACTAACATGTTTTATTATAAATGATGGGCTATAAAATTGCTTTTGATTGCAATATCAGTGTAATCAGCTAATGATGATTAAAAGTTATCCCTGGCTTACATCAATGCTGGTGAACTAACGAATTCCTCGAACTGAAGCTGTTTACATTGAAATTGTATTATGTAAGGGAGAGTTGGGGAATTCTACCTTTTAAAACTTACGGAAATTTTTTTTTTAAATCCCCCCCCCCCCCCCCCCCAAAAAAAAAAGGAATTGTGAATAAAAGTTGTTATAGGTATATATCAAATGAGCCAGTAGGCCAGTTACCCATTTAACAAAAACCTCTAAAAGGTCATCATGAGTCTACTATTTGGTGTTAATTATAGAAAATTGTCCATGTGAAGCTCCAACTCACCTCAAGTCTCTTTCATCCAATATATATTCAAGATTACAATATATGGTGTGAAAATAATAAACAAGTTGTGAAATACTAACGTGATGAAATATGAGATATTTAAAAAAAAAATGCTTTTGATTGCCACCACAGTGTAATTGGCTAATGATGATTAAAAGTTATCCCTGGCTTACATCAATGCTGGTGAACAACTGAATTCCTCGTTGCTGAAGCTTATTACATTGAAATAATTATTTGTTGTAAGGGAGTTGTGGATTTCCTCTTCATGAAATTTGTTAAGTGTAAATGAGATTTGGGGAATATATTAAATGAAACGGCAAACTTAACAACCAAAATTAAACCATCAAAAGACATCTAGTGGTTGCTGTATGGTCTGAACAAGGAGTGTGTGTCAAACTCGTTTCACCTCTAATGTATTTGGGATTACAATATATTGACAGTGGAAATAATGTTCAAGTTGTGAAATAAATTATGGGCTATTAGATTGTTTTTGAATCTTTGTCGCTATGTAAGCAACTACTGATGATTGAAAAGTTATCCCTGGCTTACATCAATGCTGGTGAACAACTGAATTCCTCGAACTGAAGTTGTTTTTACATTGAAATATTTTATTAAGTAAGGAAGAGTTAGGGAATTCCAACTCTCAAAACTTAAATATTAAAAAAAATCAAAATAGGAACTGTCATTAAAAGACTGGGTATATATGAGACGGGAACACAATCAACCACATAAAAAAACAACGAAAGACATGTCTATGTCAAGGTCATACTCACCTCAAGTCTCTTTATTCTCAATTATTTGGGATTATATACAGTATGGAAATAGTAACATTTTTTATATTAAATTAGGGCTTTAATATTGCTTTTGGTTACCATCAATGTAAGCATCTACTGATGATCAAAAGTTATCCCTGGCTTACATCAATGCTGGTGAACAACTGAATTCCTCGTTGCTGAAGCTGCTTACATTGAAAATTTAATTGAAAGGAAGAGTTGGAAAATTGCATTTCTTAAATATGAAAGAAATATGTTGGTTAAATGTCAAATGAGACAGCAACCATGAAAACCAAAAAACACCATCAAAAGACATGGCAACCATTAAAACCAAAAAACACCCATCAAAAGACATCTAGAGGTTGTTATATGGTGTTGACAATACAGATGTGTCTGTTTAAATGCTCTTACTCATCTCAGATCTGTTTATTTCAATGTTTTGGGGATTTCAATTTACAGTGTAGAAATATTGAATAAGTTGTACTTGTTATAAATTATGGGCTATACTATTGCTTTGATTGCCATGACAGTGAAATTAGCTTATGATGATGAAAAGTTATCCCTGGCTTACATCAATGCTGGTGAACAACTGAATTCCTCGAACTGAAGCTGTTATCATTGGAAATTTTATTATTAAAGAAAGATGGAGGGAATTTCATTTCTTGAAACTTTTTAGATATAAAGAAAGATGTGGTATATATGTTTAATAAGACGGCAAACAACAACCAAATAAAAGTTTCTAAGACATCTAGAGGTTGCTGTATGTTCTGAAAAATTGAAACATGCCTCGGTCAAACTTGAACTTACCTCAAGTTTGTTTTATTCAATGAATGAGTTGTACAAACATGTTATATTATAAAGGATGGGCTTTAGAATTGCTTTTGCTTTTCATCACAGTGTAATCTGCTTATGATGATAAAAAGTTATCCCTTGCTTACATCAATGCTGGTGAACAACTGAATTCCTCGTTGCTGAAGCTGATTACATTGAAAATAATTGTATTGCAATTTAAAAAAAATAATGAAATGCTATAAAAGACTTGTGCTTAACTGAAAAATTATACCTGCATTACTGGTCAGAAATATTGTAATGTACAATTTTCTAATATTATTGCATGTATTAAGAATCCTAACATATATATTTATATAAGCACTCAATTGTTAGAAAAACAAGAAAGCTTTTTATATGGGATATGCAAAAGTCGGCATACAAGCCTCTAGAAAACTTGTTCATTTTTGAAAGTTTAAAATTGTGGTTTGCATATAACCACTTAAATGGGTATCAGATAGATAAACATGAAACCACAGTATCACAAAGAAAAGACCTGATGGTGTAAGTAGGTAAACATTACCTGCATAACCACATGCTTATAGACAACTGAAATGTTTTGTTTGGGTTTTTTTTCAGCCAAGAGTAGATCAGTATTTCCAAAGAATGAATAAGGTAGTAGAAGAAAAGAAGACATCATCTAGAGTCCGATTTATGTTACAGGATGTGGTAGAACTCAGACATGTAAGAATATAAACTTTACACATTTCAAAATCGAGGGAATGTATAACTACCACATATCATTCCTTATTGATACTTTTAACATGAAAACTAATTCTAAAAAAGTATACTTTTAACATGAAAACTAATTCTAAAAAAGAAAAGTACATGTAGAAAATCTTTTTACACTATTCTACCAGATTTATTTGAATAACTCTTAAGCTGAAATGATCTATGATTTATTTGAATATAATTTTAACCTTATAGTATGACTCTGTTGTAAGCTAGTATATGAGCCAGTCCATGCAAAATGGTACAAAAACAAAAAATTAACGAAATTCTAAAAAGTATGCATAATTATTGGTAGCATACTGGTGATCAATAAAACACAATTTACAATGTGGAAATAATTAATTAGTTGTGAAATACTTGCATGTTATATTATAAAAGATTAGCTTTATAATTACTTCTGTTTCTCATCACAGTGTAATCAGCTAATGATGATAAAAAGTTATCCCTGGCTTACATCACTGCTGGTGAACAACTGAATTCCTCGTTGCTGAAGTTGATTACATTGAAAATAAATATATAGAGGTTTATATAAAGAATAATAAATAAAAAGAATATTTAACAACGTGTCTTGTAAAGTTGATCAAAAGTCCTTTATGTAATTTCTCGCATGGAATGGGTCTTATAAATGTAGTAATTTCATTTGACATCAAAATACCTTCATGTAATATTAACTACTTAGCATAAACCGCTGCCAATCAATCATCGTAGTAATAACTGTATATGGAAACAGGTAAACCTTCAATAGTGAATACAACTAAAAAGAACTAATTGTGTTGATACACACTGCAGTTAAATATAACTAATGTTTCTTTTAAAAGAGTAATTGGGTACCACGAAGGGATGAAAGTAATCCAAAGACGATAGAACAGATTCACAAAGAAGCTCAGCAGGAGGCACAGGAAAAACAGTTATTAGTACAGTCATTGGCTGTACAATCCAAATCTGGTGGCAGAGGTGGTGGACGAGGGGGAGGAGGTATGATACAATATTCATTTACTGTTTTAAGGGCAAACTGCTATGAATGAAAAAAAATCCTGTATTTGAATGACAATTACTGGGATTCTTTTTTTTTTTTGGTGAAGTATTTCATTTTGACATATGGTTACAAGCATGTTTTTGAATAATATAAAAACATGGAGGGTAAGCATTAATGTGACAGCTACTAAACAACAAAAAAAAGAAAAGTCCTTGAATATTATCGTTAAAGAATCTTTTATATTTTGGTCATATAATCTCACTATCTTGTACAACTTACATTTCTGTCCTTCAATGACCAAGTTGTGTTATTTGTATAGCAGTTTATTCATATGGTTGTTTTTGGTAGTTAATTATAATCATTGACAAATGGAAGAAACTGAAATATGTACTGAAGGGACCATTTGGTAGTTAATCATTGACAAATGAAGAAACTGAAATATGTAGGGACCATTTAAAGTATGTACCATTAGATGAACCATTACAATATGAAAACAATCATTGCAGGTCCACGACTCGGAGGACAGTCTGGTTCAATGGGTGGTGGTGCTACACCTGATGGCTGGAGTACAGTTGCTGGACCACCTAGTAGGAGAGGTGAAAGACAAACTATTGATCCTGCAAGATTAAAATTATCCAGAGTAAGTACATTAATATGCATAAGTATGTGTTATGAATAAAAATGACTTGCATTGTCAACCTTTTGGAATGGTGTACTATTCCTCCCCTCCCTTTTACACTTGACCAGACTCATGAACAGATATGAAAAATAGTCTGTGATGAATATAAAGTTATCCCTGTCAGATTTAAATAGTGTTGAGAACTTTATTCTGAGACTTGGAAACACTATTTGAAAAGCCTTTGGGAAAATGTTATTTGATGAAGAAATAATGCTCACAAGGTTCTGTAAAATTATGCATTTGTTCAACATAAGTATTGTTCTTCAGATCCAACTCTGGATGTGAGCTTGAGATATGCAAGATAATGACATGCTAAGAATTGCTCATGACAACTTACATGTATGATATTTCCCACTATAATCCCACGCTAATAGTGGTGGCTAAATTGCAATCATTTCTAGCCTGTTCGACCATCAAAAAATTTTGTCACATTTTCCTAAAAATAACTACTTAGAGCGTTGTTCCTGCTCACATTTTTAGTATGTCAACACTTGCATTCCCGATGAAATTATAAAAAGAAGCATACAATTCTTAAATAGGGACTTCATATTTACAGCATCCGGTTTCAGTGAATTTCACATTTCTGTCCTTTGTTTAACAGTTCCAATAATTGATGGACGGAAAGATTTCTGAATTTACAGTATTTAAATGTAGAATAAATTTTCTTTTCTAGCAAAATGTTGATGAGAACATACAGTTAGGTCCTGGAGGTGGAGCTGGTAGATTTGCTGGATGGCAAAGAGGAAGTTCAGGTGGTGGTGCTAGAACTTCACAGGAAGCAGAAAAAACTCCAGGAAACAGGTCTGTGAAGTTGATTGTTTAAAAAAAGAATTGTCACAAAACTTTTGACTTAAAAAAAAAACATTCTTCTAGTGTAATGGTGTTAGTCTTGTAGAGCTTCAACAAAAAAAAAATCCGTGGAATAAGTTTAGTTGACCAGTGGTTCAAAATTTAATTATTAACCTTGGTACTAAAGCAAGATTGAGAATTCAATTAGGATTGTGATATAACCTGTTTCACCAATGGAGGGAGTAAAGAGTTTTCACTTATTTTAAGTTAAATGTTTTTTCTTTCAACGTATCTTTGTTTTCAATGTCAAATCGGCGTTAGAAATAGAAATAAGAAGTAACTTTCAAGTGTTATAGAGAAGATTTGCCTAATTGAGCCTAAATTATTGCATTTTTTGTAGAAATCTTTTTGACTTATTATTCAGATTGATTTAAAGAAATTGAAAAACAAGTAATGATATTTTTATGACTTTACAGATTTTCCGCACTGAGTAAACCTGAAGAGGAAGGAAGATCACGGTATGGAGTTAGTCCTGCACGTGATGGAGGGAGAGGAGGACGAGGATTTGGAAGGCCAGTACGCATTTCTCAAAGATCCTCACAGGAACAAGAAAAAGAAAGTGCACTTGCTGCAGCTAGGTAGTACCTTTGAATATACTACTGTTAAAGCATGTCTGTGATGAATAAAGTTATCCCTGTCAGAAATGAAATGTTGACCAACTTTTATCTGAGACTTTAACGGATTAATTTTGTGGAATTATGCCCTTGCTCCAAAGGGAAGAGTGGCAGGGGGGATACTCCTGAACTTTTGTGTATGTTGCATTTTTCTCAGGAACTACAGATTAAAACTTCCTGAAATTAAATGAAAGCTTGCTTTATGTGAATATGCTATACTGTTGATGTGTTTACAGTTTCATTATATCACAATTTCCTGTACTTTATACTTATATATTCTAACACATAATGCTCCTAACATCAAAATTTAGAAACATAATATATAATAAAATTCCTTTATTAGGTCAATTGCCGGTGGTCAAACCACACCTAGGGAAGGACCAAGCAGAGAAAGCAGTCGTGGACGGGAACCTCGTGAGAGCTCTTTGAAAGAGCCAGAAAAACCAGTCGAAGCTAGTGTTCAATTAACTGAAGCAGAAATGGTGAAGAAAGCACATGCAATCTTAGATGAATACCTCCATTTACAAGATATGAAGGTCAGTCAAATTTATCTTTAAAAGAACTACAGATGTTTAATTTTGAGCTTAATGCCTTAGAAAATGACAAAAGTTTATGAAAATGTTCAACTTAACCATATTTCAATAGGAACATGAGCGTTTAGTTACTGAAATTATTTTCTTTATCTATTTCTTATAGTTTGTTTAAACAACTTGAAAGATAGCATATTCAATTCTATTGTGAAAATAACGGTTGATCTTCAGCAGTTCAAGATAGTGTTATGATCTGATTTGAAAGATTTTGAGTGTTATTAAGTGCTTTATAGGGGGGGGGTTGCAAAGTAAATTCAGAAGATGTAATTTTTTGAAGGATGTCATCTCATGTTATCAAATGTTCAATAAATTTTATTCCAGGAGGCTCTTATTTGTGTAGAAGAGCTGAATTGTCCCTCAATCAACCATGTGTTCGTATCTGAATGTATAAATCAAGTGCTAGAGAGATCTACGGTCGCTAGACGACATACAGGTCTTTTACTCCATGATCTAGTCAAGAAACCAATCATCACAGATAAGCAATATTTACAAGGGTAAGTCAAAATAATATGGTTACCAACTTCGTTTTTTGGGGATCCAGTCATGATACAGACCACCTCACCTGCAAATATATTATAACCAGCTTTTATCTATGATCATATTAAGTAGGTGTAGTTCTCAACTGAAAGAATTTTAGGAATACACTCAACCAATTGTGCAATAACAATGAATGTTATTTTAATTTCAATTTATAGTCAAAGATGATTTTATATAAAGTTATCCAGGTCTGATAATCAATGTTGATAACTTTCTTTCTGAGACTATAAATCTGAATTTTATGTTAAGTAAAGAATATAAATGTATATCATTGAAAATTACCACTACTGTACAATAAAGTCTGTTACAGTTGAGAAAGAAACGAAGCAGCTGCTTATCAAAAATCACTGCCAGAAACTTGAACGTTGATACTGTATGCAAGTACAATGATTGATCAGAGATGTTGAGGGGAAAGATAACAAGAGTTAAAGTTAGAAATACCTACAAAATTGATTGATATACTTCAAAGACTACCATTACAAGACTAAAGAATATACCCTAAAAAATCAATACACTAAAAATATTCTGAACTTGATTTTAAAATTACAATTGGATACAAGTTACTTCTCTTTGTTGTGAAGTATACTGTTATAAATATTGATTCACTGCAGTGCAACGGTGAGGAGTAAATAGAAAACAATGGGTAACTTAATTATACAAACATTTTTAGTTTTATAATTGAGTTCAAGCACAAGTATGTTTGAAGCAAAAAGACCATTAATAATTTCTAAAATTCTACTGCCCAACAAAAGAAATAATAATTTTAGAGTAAAATTCATGATTACGAAAATGACTTTCTGGAAAGTGCTATGGCTATAGTATTGTACATTTTTATGCAGGCTGAATTCAGTTCTTGCATATGCAGAAGATATGGAAATAGACATTCCTAAGATCTACCAGTATTTTGGAGAGCTAATTGGTCCCATGGTTCAAGATGGTAGTGTACCTCTTAGCTTTCTTAAAGAAGCATGTCAGCCTCTTAAAGAAACTGGCAAAGCTGGAATTCTGGTAGCTGAGATTCTTCATGATGCTAGTGACCGTGAGGTTAGTTATTTGATCATCAAAAGGACTGTAATGGGCATTAATTTATCAAACATCCTGTTGATTCTCGTAACCATTATTTATTTCCTTTAATTGAATCATCTACCAGCTATTGAAGGCATGTGTTTTTATGATAACAATAGGATAATCAAATTAAAGGGGAAATGCTGTTAGAATGATTGTGTTTTTAGTAAAGGATTAATTTAAAATGAGTTGAAATTGTTATGAATTTTGTTGTCAGAGGTTAAATTTGTAATTATTTACTTTTGATTTAGATATTGAAATTTTTTTCTTGCAGGGTCATAAAAAAGTTGGTGATTTATGGAGAAAATCAGGTTTAGAATGGTCAGATTTTGTACCTGAAGACCAGATCACACAGTTTTTAAAGGATAAGGTAATGAAATGTTTGTTTATCTTCTGGTGTAGAGATTTATACTCTGCCAAATATGAAAAAAAATAATTTACAAAAGTTGCCTTCAATGTTTACTTTTGTTATACAGCTTCATATAGCATTTGCAGATACTCTCAAAGTTGTGTTGAAAAATTTATTTTTCTTTTTTTTTTTGGTTAACAAAATAGAAAATATTAAGGATGAGTGCTAGTTGGGAATATGGGCTAAGAGACTTTATGGAATGTTTTTCTTTTCTGGACTTTCACACACATTATTTTAATGTAATGTTGAGCTATACTTATATATTCTAAACATAATATTGACAGTTAGGCGACATTTCTTATCTGCTTTTATAAATAATTTTTTAAAATCACAACATTTAAAACCTGTTTTAATTTATTTTTGGAAAATTTTCATTCAATTTTAACCATCAATTCTTTTTGAGCAAATCTGCTAGGCATACACTTTACATTGCACACATTTGTAAGTTAAATTTAAACAGGCTCATATTGTATTTGACATCATCGCGTTTTTCCCCATCTTTGTTGGAATGTTAAATATTGCAAGATTGCAATAATGATTTTAGTAATCTTGTTTTTTTCTTTCAGAAATTAGAATTTACAACTAGGGATGGTAGCACACCAACAACACCAACTGTTAGAATGCCTTTAGAAAGAATCCAAGATAATTTACATGATTTAGTAGTAGAAAAAGCAGTTAGGAATGAAGAAATATTTGATTGGATAGAGGTATACAACAGTGTAGATTTAGCTGATTATTTATGTGTACACATAGAGCAAAACAAAGTTTTCAACATCAACAAATATATAAAATAAAAAGACCGCATTCAATCACAATATCTCATTCAAAGTAGACAAACCCAACATTTCCTGAAATTGCAATAATTTAACTCTCATTTGTGTTCATTGTTCAACCATCACAAAATAAATGCACACAATAATTTCTGAATTTACATTATATAGAAAATTTAATAGTTTGTAATTAAAAAAAAAAACAAAATAATAAATAGAAAAGGGTTCCAATGCATTACTGAATATACAACTGGACAAGTAGAACAAGACTAAAATTACTTTGAACTCATACAGTAACAGCTGTTACATTAATAAACTAGAAAGCAGTTAAAAAAAAAAAGTGGAATTGATTTGGATAGAATTGAATTTAGATTGAACATATTATTTTTTCACAGGCTAATTTAGATGATTTTACAACTAAAGATAAGAAGTTCATTCGTGCATTGATGACTGCAGTATGTTCAAGTGCAATAACAGGTAATGTACAGTCTTTGTAAAGACTTTCAGAATATTTTATGTGTAGGTTGACATGTGATATTGGTTTGCTGTATCATAGATATTTATCCCAAATTTTATGAGAGCTAATCCAGGATAAAAATGTAGGGGAGGGTTGGACATCACATGATATTTTTTTCTGTGTGTAATAGGGATTGAAGCAAATACAATTCTGTTACAAATAAAAAAAATAATTATTGGTAGTGGGATAAAAAAAAAGTTGTCCAGCAGGTCTGTAAAGTCTATAAAAGTATAGTTACACTAAAAGATGTAATGGTAAGTTTGTATATGTATATGTTGTTTCCAATTTGTATTTTTGTTTGCATTATCAACATTGCAATATGTTAATGTGATACGTTTTCTTTTCCAGGGCGTGGTAACAGTGCTAAGGTAGACGCTACAAGAATTACAGCACGAGGAGTTATATTACAGAAATACTTAGATCATCAAGCAGAGTTTGAATTACAGGCACTCTATGCACTTCAAGCTCTTGTACATAAATTAGAACACCCACCAGGTTAGTCAAATAAGAAAAGAATTTACAATTAGTTATGTTAAAAAAAAGCATAAATGCAGGATAACTCCTTGTTTTATTTAAGGGATGACTGTAATATTTTTTCTGTCTATGAAGAAATAACATCAAAAATGTGGTGCACACTGAATAACCTGCGTAGAATAGACAGAAAAAATATAGGTCATAAATACAGTCATTTCTTATAATTTAATTCTAAATTCCATTTTAAACAGGAGTAAACCATGAAAAAACGGTGATGACGTCACGGTCATCTGACAAAATTATGTCTATGAGCTGATAAACAAAACAATGTCAGCCAATCAGAAGACGCGTTACATCTAAAATTAAATTATTTTGTTAGGTTATGAATAAGTCTGTCAATCTTGGAAGATGTTTGCATATGACTTGTAATCACATTATCTTTTACATTCCACATTTTATCTTGGCATTGATGAAATTTAGTTTCTATGTAGGGTCATTATTTGTTAAGAAACCTGTTTTTTCTGACTTTCCTGATGACTATACAGTTTTCTTCACCCATAGAATTTGAGTCGTGTGATTACATTATAAGTTGTTAGACTTGTTTTTGTCCTTTGATGAAGGAAGACATACTGTTTGAGTACCATTTCTTCCCGTTCTTGCTTTATTGTGAAATTTAGATACCGAACAATTTTGTAAATAGTAAAAAAAAAACAGCAATCAAGGACTTGTTATAGTAAAGCTTGTGGTTCATTATTGGAAGATTTGAGTAGTACCATATTTTCTGATCTGAAATTTCAAATACAAAAATTTGATAATGTTCAGTTTCACAAAGAAATAACTAAATTCATTGATTGCTTTTTGCAGGAGTTTTACGGACATTATTTGATACATTGTATGATGAGGACATTATTTCTGAGGATGCCTTTAATCAGTGGGAAGCAAGTAAGGACCCTGCAGAACAGGAAGGAAAAGGAGTAGCAATGAAACAAGTTGTTCAATTTTTCACATGGTTACGAGAAGCAGATGATGAAGTGGATAGCTGAGAATAGCTTCATTTTAGTCATATAATGTTTTCATGTTTAATACTGCCACTGTTCTGAATGATATAGATGAAAAAAATGTGGCGTAAGGCATTTATTTACAGTTGAGATATTGAATGGCAACTTAAATGAAACACTTAAAACAGTGACGTGATCATGATCTTTTGAAATTGACAATTTTTAACGTGATCATGCATGTATAAAACCGGACGTTTTCAACGTCTTCAGCAATTACAGATTATTGTATTATATCATGGATTTGGTTGTATAAATTCAAGAAATGTGCATGTGTAAGAAGTTAGATTATTTATTACAGTGTGATTGATCGTGCCGAGCATATAAATCATTGATTCATTTTACTGGAATATTTTTACAGATATGGAAGCATTATTAATATGTGGAGTATCATGTTTATATATTGCTCAGCTGCCTTCCATGATCGTAACAAATGAAATAAGATATTCCCCAGTTGAAGTTTATCAATATTATGTGACACAAGTTCTCTCGAGAAAGTGCATTTACAACTTCAGGGGAATAAATTCATGGCATATGGTGCTACTAACTTATTCGTATGACCTTTAACCCATTCATCAATCATGTGACAGTATAATTGCTGGTAAATGATTTGAAGCATTTGTGCATAATTATGTGTATAACATGCAATTAAAATATTTTGTGTTATATATGCAAATGAATAATTGTTTATGTATTGTGATAAATTATTATTTATGAAAGATGAATATTATTTATGTTAATACTATTATTTTCTTGAAAACAAGGACATTATGTGTAATTGTTAAAAAGTTTTTTGTTAATTTACCAAATTGTTTCATAATTCTTGTTTTCAAGCTTTGAATGTGTATGAATTTAACAGTTGCTAATATCTGTGCAATGTGCATGATATAAGGATATTCTAGCAACATCAAAATAAACCAAGCCTAAAATGCTTTTGAC